TGGTCTATATTACTACAAATTTGTACATATACCTAGTCATATAGGTATTACCTATTCAAATTGGTACGTTTATACATATTCTTATAAAAACTAGATATCATTTTCTACATTTGTGGGACTCTTATTACTACAAATTTGTACCTTTACCTATTCAAATGTGTGTTTTTCTATCCTTATGAAAATTAGTCTTCTACATTAGACTATTATTGCAAATTTTAACATATACCTATTCAAATAGGTACAACCTATTCAAATAAGTACTTTCTACCTATTCAAATAAGTACTTTTTTATATCCTTATGAAAATTATTCTACGATGGACTATTATTGCAAAATTGAACATATACCTATTCAAATAGGTACTACCTATTAAAATAGGTATTTTCTACCTATTCAAATAGGTAATTTTTACCTATTCAAATAGGTACTTTTTCTATCCTTATGAAAATTATTCTACATTTGTTGGACTATTATTGCAAACTTAAACATATACCTATTCAAATAGGTACTACCTATTCAAATAGGTATTTTCTACCTATTCAAATAGGTACTTTTTCTATATGAAAATTATTCTACATTTGTTGGACTATTATTGCAAACTTGAACATATACCTATTCAATTCAAATAGGTATTTTCTACCTATTCAAATAGGTACTTTTTCTATATGAAAATTATTCTACATTTGTTGGACTATTATTGCAAACTTAAACATATACCTATTCTACCTATTCAAATAGGTACTACCTATTCAAATAGGTATTTTTTACCTATTCAAATAGGTACTTTTTCTATCCTTATGAAAATTAGTCTTCTACGTTTGTTGGACTATTACTGCAAATTTTAACATCGTTTGTTGGACTATTACTGCAAATTTTAACATAGACCTATTCTACCTATTCAAATAGGTAGTACCTATTCAAATAGGTAATACCTATTTGAATAGGTACTTTCTACCTATTCAAATAGGTACTTTTTCTATCCTTATGTAAATTGTTTTCCACATTTTTTGGACTTTATTATTGCAAATTTGTATGTATTCTACCTATTTGAATAGGTACTACCTATTCAAATAGGTACTACCTATTCAAATAGGTACTACCTATTCAAATAGGTACTTTCTACATATCCTGTTAAACTAGTTTTTCTACATTTGTGGGAATTTAATAATACAAATTGGTTCATGTACCCATTTATTATCATGGGAACATTCATGCACAATAATTACCCATTTATTATCATGGGAACATTCATGCACAATAATGCAAGGGTAATGAAAAAGGACTTGCTAGCGCACACGCACCCGAAACATAACTCCAGTTTAATGCATTCCTAGCCATGCAGTCACCTACAAAAAAAACCTGCAGGTAGTTTTTTGTACATCCTATAATTGACCCGAGAGCAAAAAAATCGACGAATGTTATGAAGAGCCTTTGATGGGTCCTTGAGACCCTCCCTTCCCCATTCAGAGGCTTTGGTTTTCTCGTCTTCCTGGCTAAATGACAGATTCATGACAGATTCGAGGCTAAAGGATTGAGGAGGAAGTCGAGTAGTCCCTTTGTAGCGTGCAGGTGGGACTAATGAGTGAACTGCTTTATGATAGAGTTCTCTGTTTTGTGGCCTCATTTTCTGTTTACTTTCCAGATTCTATGTTTAGGTTCTGCCGCCACTTTTTTTCTTTTCTTTTCTTTTTTTTCTTTCTTTCTTTATTGACCTACCACAAAATAAAATCCCCTGCTGCTTGTGTGTCTTCAGCAGGGGTGGGGTGGGTGGGGGTTGCCTCTGGCAGGCTTGCAGGCTTACAATATCTTATCTTGCAAGGACATAGTGTGGATTAAACTGGGAGAGCTTTCTAAGTAATGAGCCACCATAGGAGCCCTCCCAGAAAGATTACAGAGACCCTAGAATTTAATTATAATTGTTGGTAACGTAACCACTGTTTACACTGCAACTACTATATATAACATTACACATTGTACTTATTTTAGAAACACTGCAGAACTTTCAATATTGTACATTACAGGGCAAGTAATTATCAAAAGGCACCAAAACCAGGAAGGCTATGTAAGGTAATTATCAAAAGGCACCAAACCGGGAAGTTTATGTAAGTAATTTTAAAAAAGGCATCAAATCGGGATGGCTATGTAGCACCATCAAATGTGTGGAATAATCAGTGGCCGCTAAATATCACCAAGGATGCCAATACGAGAACAGTAATGCATAAGGTGAACGATATTAAAAGCATCTGATTCACCAAGAATTCCATTGAGGGACAAGTGACCGCAAGGGACGGTCGGAGAGCAAGATACACACTCGTCCTGGAAGTCAGGACATTCAACAAGGATATGCACAACTGTAAGAGGGACAATGCAATTTGGACAGTAAGGAGCAGGGCGGCGCTCCATTAAGTGACCGTGAGTTAGGTGCATAGGGCCAATATGCAACCTTGCTAGAGCCGTTTCCCACCGCCGGTTACAGTGGTAGGATGGCCACGGGGACACACTACACTAAGAGTACGCAGTTACATACAACAGAAGACAACATTCCTCCAACCCTGCCAATGGGCAAGGATGGAGGAATGAATAACCGGATAAAAGTTGGAATAAGGAATGCCTTTACGGGAGATGGGACAAGAGCGGACAGCTTCCCTAGTGGCAGCATCCGCACGCTCATTTAAACACCAATATGGCTGGGGACCCAGCTAATCTCTACGGATTTAAATTTACTGGAGATAAGAAACAGCCAATGTTGAATCTCGATGACCACCAGATGAACTGGATTAAATGCCCGGTGTGTTATTTCAAGCTTTCCGCCGTCCAGGCCCTCAAGCACTTGCCCTGCTTGCTGGGGGGGTAGCCAGGACCGTTACTCCATGTCCTCCGTCTGGCCGGTGTTGCCGGCAGGTTGGTTCCCAGGCGCTCCCGCCGCCCGCCAGTGTAGCCTGGTGTGTTTGACTTAAGCGCCCTGCACGTCCGTTGTAGCAAGGATTCCTCCTACGTCGTAAGTTCATCGTTCGTCCGCCTGCCCGTCCGCCTGTGTCGTCTGTTGTTCTTCTTCGTCGGAGGGAGACGCCGGCGTTGGAGCAAGGACACGAGATCAGCTCGACGACGACGGCAGGTTTACGTCTAACGGTACGCACCACAGGCCCTGGGTTCGGCGTTGCCGCCGGCAATCCAGGATGACTTCGTTATGTCCGTTAAGTCCTCGGCGTCCAGTTCCAGGGGCCGTGCCCTGGACAGGGGGGTGGCCCCCATGTTGCCTGGGGCACGGTATCCTCCAGCAGACTTCCCGCGACATGCCTTGCCCTTATTCATATTTATGTTCTACATTTCAGCTCCGACATGCCTCTGCTTTCAGATCACCTCGGATTCACTTTGCCCCAGCCTAACTTTACTCAGGCATTCGTAGCCTTGTGCATGTCGTACGTTCAATCTTCGCGTCCGCTGTGTCACAGTTTGCTTGTTCACTTGTCCTTGACTTTGACATCTGACTGTCCTTGACATCTGACGGAAACCTTGACAAAAGAGCGGCGAGGGCAGGCGGAGTGAGGCGGAGCCCCGTTGTGCGCCCGTATTTATACGGCCCCAAACTGCCCGTGCAACGCCGCGGGACGGGCTGCGCAATTGTTTCTTCTCCCCCCCCGCAGAAACATCCCCGCTTGTGATGCAAGCAGTGACCATTTTTTCTGACCAGGGGGAAGAAAGATACTGGCAGTATGGGGCGTTAAAGTTTATTGAAGATTAAATTCTGCAGAACATGTAAATATATAAAGTTCACATAAAGTAAGTAATTATATAAAGTTTATATTAAACACTTTTATATTATAGACGTAGGTTAATAATTTTTCATTGATAATCAAAACAATAGAGTATGTGGTCTGAACTTTAAAATAAAAATTCTGTAGGTAAAATTTGAGATGGGAAAATAATGTCAGTTTAAAACACTTACACTTTCATTATTTTGTAATTAACATGCTTAGTATTACTTCTCTATTATTGCATAACAAACAAATCTGATGACCTACTTTGTGGCTTGAAGTGTAAAATGCTATTCTTTTGTGTAGAGCAGAATTAATACAAAATGGTAAAAATGTTTTAAGGTCGTATGGTGGTATTCCTTGGTGGTAAGGCTTCTGGCTTCAAGAATGTACATGACCACGACACCTACGATGTTGATGGTACAAGACTCTTCCGGGTAACTACAGTATTTTATTATTTCTCTGTAGGAGTTAAACTTCTGATATGCAGCAGATTTCTGTTTAGGCTTATGAAAGATATCCCTTACAGCTTGATATAGCACTTATTATTAAACTAATGAAAAAGGTATATAATATTATACCAGTCAGCGAAAAATTGTTAATTTGAGAAATAGATACCAAATGCTGAAGCAAGATGTTTGGTTCAGCTTTTCAAGAGCATCGGTATCTTTCCTATTATAAGCTATATCTACTTCCTTTAAATTACATGACCTTGTTATGGAAAATAGTATGAATATATTTTTTAAATACTAGTATTTAATGTGCTTGGTATAACATTTGTGTGATCATTGCTGCAGGTGCGTGGCACGTGTGACTTTGACACCCGCGCCGTCCAGGTGCTTGAGGTGGCCGGCTCACTCAATGCTGATGATGCATTCGTTTTGGAAACACCAGGAAAAACTTACCCCTCTGGATTGGCAAGGTCTGATTTACTAGTTCCAAATATTTTTTCTTGTTAATATTAAAAAACAAAAAAAAAAACAGTATAAAAACTGAACACATTAACGTAACTAGATTTCTTGACAGCATGATTTAGTTCTCACTAAGTTAATTGCCTTTGTAAAATTGCTGAACTCTATTTGTGGACTCATAGCTGTAATAGAATATACAGGTATTGCAGCAAAAGTTGACAATGAAACAATTTATATAACTACAGTATTTGAGAGACACAGATTTGTAGAGAAATGCTTAGTGGATATTTTCACGAATCACTGTATTTAAAAAATCTCCTACCTTGACTATCCAGGGAGCAAGTGAAGAGGAAAAGGCTATAGGCGAGAAGGTTGCAGAGCTGGTATCTCCTGGTCGTGACCTGCAGGTGGGTATACGTGCACATTTGGATAAGTTATTTTCACAAGATATTCCTTTGAAAAATAAAAATTCTGATGTACAGTACAATACAGTATTTAGAAATGCTTGTAAGTATCACCATCTGCTACAGTTCAGCAATGCTTGGAAACTTGTGATTTTTATATTTTCTTTATAAATATTACATTTAGAGTATACAAAGATTTCTTGATAACTCAAGCGTGTAGGTCAAACTACTGTATTCACTTTAGTGAAGACTGATCGTTTACAAAGTCATTGTGCCAAACATTTGCTCCATTAACTAAACACCTGGGACACTACAATTGAAAGAAGGGTTAACTTTTGTTCCCCAGGAATGAGAGAACTCTTGCACATGATTAGTCCCATGGCAGTCATAACATGAGAGGAGAGGATTCCCAGGACCCAATAGAATTAGGTGGAATGAAATATAAAAAAACCTGCTATTATTGAGGGAACGGTTCATTGGCATTAAAGACAATGATGATCCTCTAAAGAGGTTTACCTTCCTTGCAGTACATACTCCTACCTTGAAGACACCAACAATATTGTTGTTTGTCAAGTTATATAAATAAAAATGATTAAAACACCGTATATTAGAGATATGATACTATGGAGTAATCATAGGTACACAATGTATATTATATAATGACTCCAGTATACAGAACTTCTGGGGCATAATATAATTAGGTCATTTGTAAGTTTAATGGGATAACTTAATTATGTTGCATTGCTTCTCATTTGGTATTGAGCTGATGAAGAGCTTCAGCAAATGACCTACAAGTCCTAATTGATATTTAACTTTTTAGGAAGTCTTGTAACAAGATAGTCTTGAATGTCTTAGGACAAATGATGGTATCTTGGTGAAAGCCAAACAAGATGCCATCATTTACTGGTACCATCAGGTTACCAGTCCCACCTGCATCAAGACGATTGATACCTCATTTATGACTTGCATATATGATGTTATTTGAAGTGCATGTGATTGCTTATATAGCTAGTGGACTATAGGGTCTCTGGACAAATCTAGTACATTATACCAACATGGGAAGAATTTAAAGACTATTCATTCCGTATACAGTACAATATCTCTCGGTAAATCTTCAAAATATAGTAGAATAACCGGTAGTACTGTAGTCTTGTTTCACTTGATAGAAAAATATATTTTACAGCAGAGAATCTCTAAATTTAAAGTCTGAAGCATTATAGTATTTGTTCAGAGATTCCTCTCAAAAGGAATCTGATAAAATGTATTTGCCTTTCAAAAGGAATTGTAAATGTTTATATAAAGCACCATTAGAGAATAAAAAGTTCCATAGTTTTAGAGGTTTATTAATGTACCTTCATGTACAAGGTTGTGGCTGAAGGGGAGGAAAGCGATGACTTCTGGGCTGGTCTCGGTGGTAAAGGTGAATACTAAAATGTTCGCGAGCTAAACAGACCTCTGTTGTATCCCAGACTCTTCCACTGCACCATCTCTCCTGCTGGCTGCCTCAGAGTTAATGAGGTGTCTAACTTCTCCCAGGAAGTAAGTGGACTGCATTTTGTATGGTGTATATTGCATTGATGATTCCACTAAAGAATCTAAACTAATCAGCTACTGAGACTAGTCTGCAAGATAGTAATGAAATACAGTACTGCATTATACATTCATTTACTAAGTTAATTTCTCCCAACAGGACCTGAATGAGAATGATGTTATGGTTCTGGACTCTGGCGATGAAATCTATGTTTGGGTTGGACAAGGTTCCGATGACCAGGAGAAAGAGAAAGCCTTTGCTATGGCAGAGGTAAGATAAGGAGCTCATTTGATTTGTAAGATTTGAGCTCAAAGAGGAGCTCAAAATTATGGAAAATATGAAGCCATTCATCTTTCTAAAGGGTACTGCCTTTATTTTAGTGATTTATAGAGAAGTTGTTACGAACATTTTCCGATTCTTATAACTGTGATGATTTTTAAATCACTGATAAATGTAGCTTCTAAATCAAAATCTTTAGTGTACAGTGCAGTATATAATTATAGATATTACACGTTATGTTGTTACAACTTTCCTAGGTAACTAATTTACTGTAAATCTGTGTACACTAACTCAGTTATTAAGAGCAATATTACTTTTAATATATTGGAAAGAGATCCATATGAAAGTAACTTGGTGAACTCAAAGCTTCATCTTCCCATTGAGGTCACAAGAGATGGTGCCCGCTGGTAAATTCAGTTAAATTTTCCAAGTAATATATTTAGGCATTTAGTTTATTCAATAGTTTACAATGCTTGCCCAGCAAATGCACTGCTTTCAATACATCACAAATTTTTTTTATAAGATAAGTAAAAAAATCTAAGTTTATGCTGATAAACTCCAGCTGTAGCAACTATCTTTGTGAGTAGTAGGGAAACTTTACACTAATTAAATGGTAACCAGAATATATATTCTAAAAATTATTGTAGAACTGTAAATAATCAAACTCATGCTTGCACTTCATGTGCTTAACATTTTAAAGTATTATACAGTACCATAGAATGCACGGTGTAAAACACTTCTTCGTTACAGAACTACGTCAAGACTGATCCGACAGAACGTACCCTGGACTCGACTGTGATCCTACGTGTGACGCAGGGAGAGGAACCGGCTGCCTTCACTGCCATCTTTCCTGCATGGAACCCCGACATGTGGCAGGTACGTGAAGAAATGTTGAAATGCTCGGTCCAGTACAGGAGATGGATTGGGATATATAAAATAATATATAGTAAATTCATTAAAATATTTATATACCAGAAGTACAAGTTCTTGTGAACAAAACAGTGGCTAGTGATATGATTATGTAGTACAGTACAGTAATAGGTTGAGTAAAATAATTTATTATGGGGAAGATGTGGTACAAGTGTTAATATGCAGCTCATCCTCCTGTGTATGTAGTACTTACAGTAACGCTGAGGACCATTGTACATAGATTGACGTAAAAGGCAAGTAGAAAGTAGAACCCGATACTGAATTTGGACAAACTGGAAACATTTTTGTAATGGTGCTGTAAAGAAAACTTTATTTAACTAACCTCCCTAGACTTAATGCATGCTATCCGAGGCATAATACAGTACACACATTATTTACCAATATTCAGGTAAATCGGGTAAAATGTATGTGCTATCTTAGCCTAGGAATATTTGAGTTTGGTTTATAGTTTAATTTTTTGAACTCAAAAAGTACAGTACAGTATACACAAAAGTGGCAAATACGTTGTGAATATATTGTGTTCTTAGGTTGTCGTGAAGAGAGAACATGATGTATGAGCATTATTTTATATTACTAGTGCTCATTTTTTAAGTATTTCTTTTTTATAAAGTGATAACAGTACACATGCAACTATAATAAAATTGCATAAATATGTAAGTGTTTCAAATGAAGTGGCTCTCTTTTTATAGAGTGCACATAATGCTTCATGGCTAATGTGTACATTTATCAAGTTTTATAGCCCTTTGAAAACTCACCATTATTCAGTGTTTCAGAATGGAAATAAGGGTATGTGAAGAATGTCAAATTACAATAATAATAAGAGGTTAACGTTAATATTTGAACTTAAAGGTTCTTTACTTCTGAAGTACAGTACTAACATACAGTTCTTTACAATCAAAATATTAATTAACATTAATTCTAAACTGTGTACAAATTGTAAAGATGCTAACTTATAACGAGCATTAATTATAATGCCCATGGCATGCAAAGCATCATGGTTAGTTCTAAAGTGCTAATTAAAAACAAATATACCATTTGTCTAATAATATAAGCATAGGGCAAAGAAATATATGCATATACAATATAACAGTTATATTTAGCTACATGATAAAATTAATAACAAAATTTGGATTTGAATGAAAACGAAAAGCTTCATTCTGAGCATGACACTCACATGCTCCTTAAGACAAGATATCCTGGTTCCAAAGCTCCTTAAGGGAAGATATATCCTGGTTCCAAAGCTTCTTAAGGCAAGATATATTCCAGAGTATTAGATCATGACAAGTCAGGCCAAGGGTGACAATCTGCATTGGCACAACAGGGATGGAGGGGGTGAGGCTGTTGGTAGAGGACAAAGAAAAGGAAAACACTAGAGTTAACTGAACTTTGATGCAGGCGTGAGATCATGATCGTGTAGGCCATGACCCAGATATGCTTCCACAGAGCATCCACATTTCCACCAGAAGAAATGACGATCATCTGATAGCTCTCGGTCAATAATGGTGCATCTGTATAGAGCTTTTATAACCATATCATCATTTTTTATAAAGACTTAGCAATAATAATGAAAATTGTCATATTACAATAACTGCAGTGGTTCAGAAGATCAACAAACAATGACTGCACTTTTGAAGGTTAAAATAATAATCCACTTTCTACTAGAGACTGAAAGTTAAAATTTAGTCATGCATTATGATTTAGCAATAACCCTCTTGGTGGTGTGGTTTTGAGACATTATGCCCATTATTATTAGATAAAATCTGGTGGAAGTACTAGGCTGGTAGAAAGGAGCGAGGGATTTTGATAGATTTAATGTGTGTGACTAAAGTACTGTAATCATGTGATGAGTGTCATGAATGACGAGCTAATGGTAGCAAGCATAACAGGCATCCCTATACACCAAAACAATTCTCGTAATTTACTTTGAAGAGAATTTTAAAATCATTATTGTATGCTAGTTTGTGTTTGTCGTTTATACTAGTAAATGATCATTATTGAGTATACTTTACTGCTGTGAACATTTCAATTTTCTTGTGTAGCTTTTCTGTTAAGTATCTAGGCCATTTTAGATTAACTTTTCTTTAAACACTCCACATAACTTTTAATGAGCATGGATCTTCAGTTCACTTGCACATATATGGGAATGAAGCTTGTTCTCCTCTTGCTCAAAATTGATATGAAACCATGTATACACTTTATAAAAGCTATAGAAGCAATTCTATTTGCCACTTAATTTTCAGTAATTGCATTATGTAGGTATAGCATGCTGCCTCTCTCATCACTTTCAACCAAATTATGCTTCACTTTCTATATATTCATTATTAACTTAAAATACTCTTCTGCTTTGTATAATTTTACTGTTGACCAAATTTAAAATATTTCCTATTCCAGCACTTATTTATAAGTATTTTTAAAATATACTTCAACAAAGCAGATGGCAGTTATAAACAAGACTAAATGTTTCTGCTTATTTCCGTTGCAGAAGGTGGATCAGACTGCTTGCCGTACTGTGATGTGCGTTGTGTTTTGATAGGTGGTATTGCTTGTAGCTTCATCTACACACTGCTCTGCCTGTAGTGCATGCTGCCCTAAGGCATTATTCTCCTGCAGTTAGGCTGGGCAGACCTAGGTGTGGTGTGTTGCAAGATGCTCTTGTACAAGATTTGGTCCTCTGTTCCATGTTGGAAGAGGCTTTGGGGCAACAAAAAGACATGCAAAAATATCATCTCAATTTTACCAGTGTTAAATATTAAGGATTTACCGTCTAGAACAGTGGTTCTCAAAAGGGGAAGGCACTTGACTTCTGAGTGAGGTACAGTACCTGTATTTAAAATCTAATTGGATGGATATATGTCAGGGAAGGAATATCAGTGAGGGAATGAACTCCAAAATACAAAAGAATATACTTTGAGGAAACCTGGGATCACAATGGAAGGTTTGTGTCCTGGCACTCTGAGAACCACTGCTCTAGAACATGCCTAGAAATGTGTGATGAGTGCTTGTAGCAGTATGCGTAGTGATGCATGTGTATCTTAGTCTGCCTGAAGCTGCTGGCGAGACCCATCAGTACCTTCATATGCAGCAAATGACAACAGTTTTGAGAGGGGCGGGCTGCACAAAAGACTTGTGATGCCCTTGGTGAAAAATTTATCTCGACACTACATCTGATCATCTGGGATAGAAGATGCAGTCAAGTTAAATTAGAGTCCTGGACACTAATGTAGCTGTAGGAAGATCAGAACTCATAATGAACCATTCCTAATCAGTGTATTTGACATTAAATTTGCTAGATTGTGATGACTAACATAGTGGTTGTTGCAGCAGCTTCCCAGACGAGCCGAGAAGTCTCAAAACATAGAAAAAGTTGTCAAAGATCAACCTGAAAAGAAAGACTTCTGTTGCTGTTGCCAATGAGCGTGAAGTAAGACCGATCAGCTGAGGAACTTCAAACATACTAACCCTTTTGATGTATCCAAGGCTTCCCTCCTAATAATGTTGCAAACACTCGGGTCATGTTTTGGAAGCCGTTTCACCAAAGAATATTTAAAACATGTACAGTAGTATGCCATTTGCCACCTAATGCGAAGCCAAGGTAATATGCAAAATAAATATGAATTCAGTATCATTACAATTATTCATTTGAAATTTAAAATCATATTGATTACCTAGTTCATACAGTTGGGGTCATGGGATTCTGAGTGTGTACATTTTAAATTTTCATCCAGTATTTGAAAAGCTGGTACATATACTTATTTATTAATATATTTATTTAAAAAAAAACAATAAATTAACTGCCAAGTAAAGTCATATTGGCAATTTTTCTTTAAGGCCGACCCCAAAAAAGTTTAACTGTTGTGATAGTGAAAATTAAAGTTCAGGTCTACCAAATGACACCACTATGATGACCAAACCACACATCAAAAGATGGAGAAAAGACGACATTTCGGTCTGTCCATGACTGTTATCAAGTCAAGAAATTATCGAGTTCACGACTTTAAAAAGATCCAGAGCGGACCTAAACATAGTCGATTCTGCATCTTCTGATATGTAGTTTGGTTATCATATAACCACATTATTGTGACTCGTCTGCCATTACTATGCTACCACCTTAGGCATTGCAGAGACTGATATTTTATTTGTCAGTTTTGCTTCAGCTAGGTTTATGGTGTTCAGACAAGTACCCAAATTTTAAGTGCAAATTTTCTCGGGAGCAGTTGGGTCTCGCTACAAAAAGTTGAGCATTTTATACAGTACATGCTAGAGCTGCTAAAGCTCATATCAAGATAATGCTTAAAAAATACAATACATAAACTAGGCCAAGAACTCTATGTATGTATCTTTTTTTTTTTTTAAATACAGTATGGGTAGAGTTAAAATGATAAAATCTAACCAAGCTGCCAGTCACTTGCTACAGTCTCTCGATGCATACATCTGGATGTGTGATTTCCTATTTGTGGTTTACAGAATAGAACATGTTTTGTTTTTGTGCGTGTGTGTGTGTATATTCACAGTATACTGTGCTTGTGTGCTCATTTTTGTTTGGCCTCATTAACAAAAAACTATGAACTGCAATAAGTTAAAAATACTAGTACTGTATCACCATTCTTATTTTATAATAATTGGCATTTATAAAGTTAATCCTTAAAAAGAAAATTAACCCAATTTCCTCAAATGCCATTTTCTTCTAATAAATATACACATGTAAAAATAAATATATTTTATCACTGTTCTGTACAGTACTTGGGAATAAATCCTTCTTGTCAGTAATGTATTATAACGGCCTAAATAAAACACAAATTATTGTTAATGCCTCTTAAATCTAAATGTAATTAGTACAATAGGAAATTTTTGTATAGCTTTTTATAGAGCACTAAAAAATTCAAGCAAAGCCTTGGTCATTTCTCTAGAATCACCACCCACACATAGCATTATAAACTTAAATTAATCAATATACAGTATAATCATAAACCATCTCTATAGTTCATGGCAACATCACATTTAACAGCAAATGGTATATTAAATTTGTGGTAGTATGGATATCTTCATAAACATGACTGATGCAATCACATTCAATTTGCACCTTAGCCTGACTAATGCTGGCTCAGGTTGATCTGCGTTTTAGAATGGCGGGACTTGTGGTTACGCAGAGTGGGGTCTTTCCTCCCCACTCGCCGTACGTGCTGTTGGGCGTCGGCCCCTCCCCGGGCTCGGTTCCTTGGCCTTTGAGTCGGTTGGTTCCGTCCTGTGGGTGGATGTTTCCTCCCACCTTTTTTGTGGACGGTGTTTTCGTCATCTTTCCACGTTCGATGGGGTTCTACGTGACTTCTGATCTCGGGTGCGCCTGCGCCTTTGTGTGCCTTCGGGACTAGTGTTGGCTTCTGTGTTCTCGAGGGTTCGGGAAGGTTTTTCGCTACTTCCCACATTATTGGAACGTTTGTCGGCTCCTCGTCCTTGTCGCCGTTTTGGGCTACTTGTGGCCCGGTTGGGCTACTTGTGAGCCGGTTGGGCTACTTGTCGCTCTGTTGGGCTACTTGTCGCCCGGCTGGGTTCCTTTTTGGGCTCTTTGCTTCTTTGGCCGGTTTTATTGTTCCTGCTTCCTCTTTTGACTACTTTTCTAGTGCAGTAGTCCTGGTTGGCGCCTTCCCACAGAGGGTTGTGCGGTTCGGCCAGCGTGTCATGCGCTGTGGAGTTTGTTTTGGTCTGGGCGGTGTTTCAGTGCTGGGGTTTTGCGCCCTTTTTGCTACGGTGCTTCGCCTCTCGTTCTTCTCCCTGGCTGCGGTATGTGCCCCTTCGCTCCGGGGGTGTCCTGGTTCCCAGTTGTGGGGAGGACACCGCGGTTTTCCCTGTGTCATGGGTGTGGGCCCCCTCCTTCGCCTTTCCCTGCTCTCCTGTGGGTCCGGCTCTGGCGTCTTCACTTGGCGGTGCTCCCAGGTTCTTCTGGGCACGGTTGAGTCGTGTCAAGTTCTTGCCACCGTTCGCCAGGTGAGTTTCTGCGGTTTGACGTCTTTAGCAGCCTTGCTGCTCGTTGTTCTCGTGTTGTTCCCGGGACTTTTCGGGGCTGTGGCGCCTTGGGTTGGCGTTTGCTGCCGGTTGTCTCGCTTCCGTGGGGGGTGCGTGGTGTCCGCCTCCCGGTTCTGTCCCTTTGACCTTCCTCTGTGGGTAATTAGCTCCGGGGAGCCGACGAGGCTCCCCCCCAGAAAACCAGCGTTGAATGTAATGAAACGCCATTTTCTGGGTGAGACCCGGAGGCTCCCCGGCAACCCTCCCTCCCTCTGGTCGGCGGTTAGGTCCAGCGAGAAATGCTGGACCTACTGGGCTGTGGTGGATACATGGGTCTGTGGGCCGCTCCAAGCAACAGCCTCTTGAACCAAGCTCTCACAAGTCAAGCGTGGCCTCAGGCTGGGCTTGGGAGTAGAACTTCCAGAACCCCATCAAGCAGGGTACATTTCTACCTATTCAGATACTTTTCTACTTATATGAAAACTAGTTGCTGTCCTCTACATGCACCTCTAGCTTCTACTTACTCAAATTGGTACTATTCTATTGAAATAGGTATATTTCTACCTATTCAAATAGGTCCTTTTCACGAGTAGGTCCTTTTCTACCTGTACAGTACTTATTAAAATGAGTTACTGTCTTTACATATTCAAATATTTATTTTTCTACCTATTCAAATAGGACCTTTTTTTTTACATTCTCAAATTCATATCATATCCTTATGAAAACTAGATACTGTATCCTACATATGTTGGAATTTATTTTACAAATTTGTACATATACCTATTTTACCTCTTCTCGGATTGGTGCCTTTTTTTGATAATTACCTATTCTATTTAAATAGGTTTTTCTATATTAAATAGGTACTTTTCTACATTTTTATGAAAACTAGTTACCCTCTCCTACATCTGTGAGAATCTATTGCTATAAATTTGTAACTTTACCTTTTCAAATAGGTACTTTTCTATCCTTATGAAAATTAGGCTTCCACATTTGTTGGTCTATATTACTACAAATTTGTACATATACCTAGTCATATAGGTATTGCATATTCAAATGGGTATGTTTATACATATTCTTATAAAAAATAGATACCATTTTCTACATTTGTGGGACTCTTATTACTATAAATTTGTACTTTTACCTATTCAAATGTATTTTTCTATCCTTATGAAAATTAGTCTTCTACATGTTGGACTATTATTGCAAATTTGAACATATACCTATTCTACCTATTCAAATAGGTACTTTTACTATCCTTATGAAAATTAGTCTTCTACATTGGACTGTTATTGCAAATTTAAACATACACCTATGCTACCTATTCAAATAGGTATTTTCTACCTATTGAAATAGATACTTTTTCTATCCTTGTAAAAATTAGTGTTCTACGTTTGTTGGACTATTATTGCAAACTTGAACATATACCTATTCAAATAGGTACTACCTATTCAAATAGGTACTACCTATTCAAATAGGTACTACCTATTCAAATAGGTACTACCTATTCAAATAGGTACTCTTTCTATCCTTATGAAAGTAATTCTTCTACGTTTGTTGGACTATTATTGCAAATTTGAACATATACCTATTCAAATATTAAATAGGTATTTGAATAGGTAGTACCTATTCAAATAGGTACTTTCTACCTATTCAAATAGGTACTTTTTCTATCCTTTTCCAAGTTGTTTTCCACATTTGTTGGACTTTATTATTGCAAATGTGTACATGTACTACCTATTTGAATATACTACCTATTTGAATAGGTACTACCTATTTGAATAGGTACTACCTATTTGAATAGGTACTACCTATTCAAATAGGTACTCTTTCTATCCTTATGAAAGTAATTCTTCTACGTTTGTTGGACTATTATTGCAAATTTGAACATATACCTATTCAAATAGGTAGTACCTATTTGAATAGGTAGTACCTATTCAAATAGGTACTTTCTACCTATTCAAATAGGTACTTTTTCTATCCTTTTCCAAGTTGTTTTCCACATTTGTTGGACTTTATTATTGCAAATGTGTACATGTACTACCTATTTGAATAGGTACTACCTATTTGAATAGGTACTACCTATTTGAATAGGTACTACCTATTTGAATAGGTACTACCTATTCAAATAGGTACTCTTTCTATCCTTATGAAAGTAATTCTTCTACGTTTGTTGGACTATTATTGCAAATTTGAACATATACCTATTCAAATAGGTAGTACCTATTTGAATAGGTAGTACCTATTCAAATAGGTACTTTCTACCTATTCAAATAGGTACTTTTTCTATCCTTTTCCAAGTTGTTTTCCACATTTGTTGGACTTTATTATTGCAAATGTGTACATGTACTACCTATTTGAATAGGTACTACCTATTTGAATAGGTACTACCTATTTGAATAGGTACTACCTATTCAAATAGGTACTTTCTACATATCCTTGTAAACACTAGTCTTCTACATTTGTGGGAATTTAATAATACAAATTGGTTCATGTACCTATTTATCATCATGGGAACATTCATGCACAATAATGCAAGGGTAATGAAAAAGGACTTGCTAGTGCACACGCACCCGAAACGTAACTCCAAGTTAAATGTATTCGTAGCCATGCAGTCACCTATTCTACAAAAAACCTGCAGGAAGTTTTTTGTACATCCTATAATTGTCCAGAGTTACGTAGTGCAAAAAAAACGGCAACGAATGTTATGAAGAGCCTTTGATGGGTCCTCGAGACCCTCCCTTCCCCATTCAGAGGCTTTGGTTTTCTCGTCTTCCTGGCTAAATAACAGATTCGAGGCTAAAGGACTGAGGAGGAAGACGAGTAGTCCCTTTGTAACGTGCAGGTGGGACTAATAAGGGAACTGCTTCATGTTCTCTGTTTTGTGGCATCATGGCCTCATTTTCTATGCTGTGTTTACTTTGTAGATTCTATGTTTAGGTCCCCCCCCCCCCCTTTTTTTAGGGACAATGAAGAATCCCCTGCTGCTTGTATTTCTTCAGCAGGGAGGGGGGGGGGGGTGCCTCTGGCAGGCTTACAATATCTTGCAAGGATGTAGTGTGGATTAAACTGGGAGAGCTTTCTAAGTAGCACCACAAAGCCACCATATTAGCCATCCCAGAAAGATTACAGAGACCCTAGAATTTATTTATAATTGTTGGTAACATAACCACTGTTTACACTGCAACTACTGTATGTAACATTACACATTGTACTTATTTTAGAAACGCTGCAGAACTTTCAATATTAAACATTACAGGGCAAGTAATTATCAAAAGAAGGCACCAAACCGGAAAGGCTATGTAAGGTAATTATCAAGAGGGCACCAAACCGGGAAGTTTATGCAATTATCAAAAAGAAGGCACCAAACCAGGAAGGCTATGTAGCACCATCAAATGTGTGGAATAATCAGAGGCCGCTAAATATCACCAAGGATGCAAATACGAGAACAGAAATGCATAAGGTGAACGATATTAAAAGCATCTGATTCACCAAGAATTCCATTGAGGGACAAGTGACTGCGAGGGACGGTCGGAAAGCAAGATACACACTCGTCCTGGAAGTCAGGACATTCAACAAGGATATGCACAACTGTGAGAGGGACAGTGCAATTTGGACAATAAGGAGCAGGGCGGCACTCCATTAAGTGACCGTGAATTAGGCGCGTAGGGCCAATACGCAACCTTGCTAGAGCCGTTTCCCACCGCTGGTTACGGTGGTAGGAGGGCCACGGGGAGACACTACACTACGAGTACGCAGTTTGTTACCAACAACAGAAGACAACATTCCTCCAATCCTGCCAACAGGCAAGGATGGAGGAATGAATAACCGAATAAAAGTCGGAATAAGGAATGCCTTTACAGGAGATGGGACAAGAGCGGACAACTTCCC